AAGCAACATAGAGTATCACTTTGAGATTCTCAAACTATACAACAAAGTTCCCACTTTTATTCCTAAAAAAAATGATGACCAATTTTTTTTTGTCACCTTTTCTTGATATCTCCTATATAAACTATGTCAAACCAAAGGTAAAACACCCACAAAAAATAAAAAAATAAAAAAAATAAAAAATGTGGTGTTCCCTTTTTTCTTCTTCAACATCACATTTTACTATAATTAAATGTTCAATCCCAAGTGATAATCAAGAATTCAAGAATCCAATTAATGGAAATGTTGTGAAATTGAATTTGTTAAAATCCAATAATAATGGTCATCATGTTGCAACAAAAACTTCTTTTTCTCCTAGTGATGAAACTTTGTACAATATTCCAATGTCACAACTAAGGCAAAATATACCAACAAAGAAACAACTTGTGGATACTTATAGACAAGGAACTATTGTTGAAGGTGCATATAGACAAACAGTTGTTATAAGGTCTTATGAAGTTGGTCCTGATAAAGTTGCTACTATTGAAAGTATCCTTAATTTACTTCAGGTGAGATCATATTTTTTGTCATTTTATTGATTTGAGAGTTATGATTAGTTGTTGTTCAGCTCGAATCACGAGGATAAATGGAGCGATATAAATAGTGAGGTGAGGATGCGTATAGCTGACTTAGACTTGTTTGTGATTTAGGCATAGTAGTATGTACTTGTTGTTGTAGTATTAAATGGCATGACATGTATAATGAGATTCATATAGCTGACTCTAACTTGTTTGTGATTGAAGCATGACGTTGTTGTAGTATTAAATTGAATGATATGTACAATGAGGATTCATGTAGCTGACTCTGACTTGTTTGTGATTGAGGCATAGTAGTCTTGCATTGTTGTTGTACTATTAAATGGCATGACATGTATAATGAGGATTCATGTTGCTGACTGAGACTTGTTTGTGATTAAGGCATAGTAGTTTGACGTTGTTGTTGTATAAATGAAATGACATGTATAATGAAGATTCATATAGTTGACTCTGTCTTGTTTGTGATTGAGGCATAGTAATTTGACGTTGTTGTTGTACTATTAAATGGAATGACATGTATAGTGAGGATTCATATAGTTGACTCAGACTTGTTTGTGATTTTGGCATAGTAGATTGACGTTGTTGTTGACTTGTTGTAGTATTAAATGGAATGACATGTACAATGAGGATTCATATAGTTGACTCATACTAGTTTGTGATTGAGGCATAGGAGTTTGACATTGTTGTACTATTAAATGGAATGAGATATATTGTGAGGATTCATATAGCTGAGTCAGACTTGTTTGTGATTGTGGCAAAGTAGTTTGACGTTGTTGTTGTATTAAATGGAATGACATGTACAGTGAGGATTCATCATTCATATAGATGACTCACACCTGTTTGTGATTTAGGCATAGTTGTACTAAATGGAATGACATGTACAATAAGGATTCATATGGTTAATTTCGACTTGTTTGAGATTGAGGCATAGTTGTTTGACGTTGTTGCAGTACTAAATGGAATGACATGTACAATAAGGATTCATATGGTTGATTTCAACTTGTTTGAAATTGAGGCATTGCACATGTTGCTACTTAGCACTTGCATCTCCCCCCATCTTCACTTCCAACTAACTACACTAAGAGATTTTTTCTGGTTTACCTATCTGGAGTTCGGAGCATACTAGTCCGACTAATTTGAATTTGTGTTGTATTTTTGCAGGAAACAGCATTGAATCATGTGTGGATGTCAGGACTACTTAGTGATGGATTTGGTGCTACACATGGGATGATGAAAAATAACCTCATATGGGTTGTTTCAAGAATGCAAGTTCAAATAGACCATTATCCAATATGGTAAGTGACTTGTACAGCCAATTTGTGTAACCAAGTCTGACATTAGATAGCTAAGTGATTTTGATCCTCTTAGTGAAGTTGGAGTTAACGATAACGGACTAATGTTTATGATACTGAGGATTCATACAGACGACCTCAACTAACTTAGAATTGAGGTGTAGTAATTTTAGTAGTAGTAGTTGTTGTTGTTCTTGTAGTAAAGTTGGAGTTTACTTGTGCCACTGTTACAAACTGTTAAAGAGTAGGTAATCCATACCTTGTCTTTGTTTCTATTGCATTTTATCTCACCACATCACATTTTGTTCTGCGAGATCAGTAAACTCGGTCTAGGTCTGAGATAAGCTTTTGTTCCATAGCCCTTAGATACATGAACAGATGCTTTCTCCATATTCTAACGTCTCTATCAACCAAATTCTCTTTTCTTCACCTGATACATATTAACTTACATCTTCTGCTCCTACCTGATCCAAGACAACTGATGCCTGATTCTCCCGATGCATCGCTCTCTTGGTTTTTGGTACTAGGCCTAACAAAAAGATTCGAAAAACTTGAACAGGGGTGAAGTAATAGAGATTGATACATGGGTTGGAGCATCAGGCAAAAATGGGATGAGACGCGACTGGCAAATTAGAAGTCAAGCCACAGGCCTTGTATTTGCCAGAGCAACCAGGTTCAGTTACACTTCCAAATAATTTTCAAGAATCTGTTTTTTTGTCCAAGTAAAACCAAGAGTTGATTTTCTCAAATCAACTAATGATAATTATCTCAGAAAGTCGTTTTTCTTGATTCTATAACAAAAAAAGTGACTTTATGAGATACTTATTGTTAGTTGAGTGACCGCCTGAGAAATCAACTCGTAAAACCAACATAATGTTGTAAGATGTAACTTAGTTTTTGTGTGGAACACAGTACATGGGTGATGATGAACCAGCAAACGAGACGTCTGTCAAAGATGCCAGAAGAAGTGAGGGCTGAAATCTCACCATGGTTCATCAGTAAACAAGCCATCAAAGAGGAAAATCCTATTAAGATAGAGAAGCTGGATGACACTGCTAAATACGTCCTTTCAAATTTGAAGGTGATCTTATGCATTTTATCCACAAGATTTCAGCATTTTCATCGATATGTCAAGACTCGTAGATACTGATCTTTTTTTAACTTTGCTGCAGCCAAAGAGAAGTGATTTGGACATGAATCACCATGTAAATAATGTGAAATACGTTCGTTGGATGCTAGAGGTAAAACGAACATCTAATAACATTGATTCTTGATCTTGACATCAACTTATGATGAAAAACATCAGTTTTTTTGTTCTGTTTCATGTTGTTGCAGACCATTCCTGACCATTTTTTGGAGAGTTATCAGCTGTCTAGTATCGTGCTCGAATACAGGAGAGAATGTGGAAGCACGGATATCGTTCAATCCCTTTGTGAACCTGATGAAGAGGTACTTTTCGACGATGTTGTTGATGTTGATCAACATAAGAGAAGAATTAGTGTACTTCATGGATTTTCATTGGCATCAGGGCTTCTTGAAGCAAATGGACTTCTTGAGTCATTTAGTCAAAGGCCATTTAGCTATACACATTTGCTTAAGATAAAAGAACAGATCAAGAATGAAGAAATTGTTAGAGGAAGGACTACTTGGAAGAGAAAGATATCTTCCATTCCATTTCCTACCTAACATACGAGCGATGTTGCTCAGACTCTTCAAAAATGTCACTTGGGCGTATGTTGGATTCTCCAAAAGCTGTGTTTTCATAGGATCTAACATGGGTGCAGTAGCATTTTTGAAGGGTCTGAGCAACGTAATTTGCAAGTATGATTTAACGAACGGTTCGCCAATCTTGAAGAAAAAAAAAGGTTCTTGAATCCAAGAAAAGGACTTTGATTGATGTGGGAAAACAATAATAGAAGAGTGAAGATACAAATAAATCTGTTAATGTTGAATACAAGTCATAGTTGAAGCAGCATTGCAGCATAAACTGAAGATTCAAAGACAATGGATTTGCAAAAGCAGCATTTTTTAGGAAATAAGAATATTCACATATCAAAAAAAAAAAAAAAAACTTTTGTGTAGTGTATAGGTCCTCCTAGAAATATGTATGATTGTAGAAAAATGTTGTCAAATATGTTTTTTTTTTCTTCTTTTCTGAGGTACATTTTTGTATTTTCTCTTTTTGCATTTATAATGTTGATTGGGCTGGTTGTCCTGATACTCGCCGGTCTATCATTGGGTCCTGATTTTCTTTGGCCCAAATCTTGTATCTTGGTCTTTCAAGAAGTAACTTATTTGTTTCTCGCTCCACCACTGAGGCTGAGTATCGTGCCATGTCTCACACTATTGTTGAACTTGAGGTATTGTGGATTCAACAATTGCTATTGACTTACATGTTCTCACTGATCGGATTCTCTTATTTTCGCGATATAATTTTATCTACCATCTTCATAAAAAGCTTGCTTACATCGTTGCTTCTCATCGCGCACTTTAAAATTGTTCATTCACATGTGTCCACGTGGCGATTGAAGGGTATCTTAGTGTATGTGAATATTCTTTATTTTTCACCATATTAACCTAGGCTAATGTTGTATGTCACCTAATTTAAGTAAAAATATTCTTGTCTTTTACACTTAATACACTCATTTTAAAAATATAATTACACAATCCTAACAATGACTTAGGGTGCATAATCTTGCTTCTTTTACAATAACAAAGAGTATAGTATCAAAAGTAAAGAGTAATCAAAGAAAAGAAAAACTAAAAGACAAGTTTGGTAACATTTTTATTAGTCAATGTTAAATGCATAGAATTATGTCACTTAAACATTAGCAAACAATTAAAATAACCTGTTATTTGTTTGTATGGTTGAAATGTAATTGTCATAACTGTACCAAGATGCTGTATATTGGCTATATATCCTTCTGAAATTTTCAAGAAATATATCTTGTTGAAATAGACTATATAATTATAGTATAACTAAGATTATTCTCATTTAGACCAGAGGTCTCAAATTGTGGTGGGATGGATACGATTCATTCATGCTTAACCAAAGGTCTCGCATAAAATCATGCGACCCCTAGAGCACTTCCTCTTTAATTGAGGCAACAATATTGCAGCTGAACAAACATGTACTTTTTAAGCCTATTGAAAAAGAATTGAGGTTCACTACATGTTTAAAATGTACTAATATTTAACCTAAAAAAAATGCAAACCATATACAGTTACAAGGTAATGGGTATTTACAACATGGTTGAACTCTACCCAGATGAAAGCAAAGGAATAAAGAATGGCCGGGGAACTGCAAACGTAAACTCAATCGTGCTTTCTCCTCATCGTTCTATGTAAATGCAACGACCATGCAGCCAACGACATCAAAAGGCCAATACCGACACATGACCATAAAATTACCACCCATTTGGGCATTGGGTTCGGAAATGATCCTGAAAGAAGCAGAAAAGAAAAACATCAAGTGAAGAATACATAAAGCCACCGGGGTTCTGGTCTTTGCCAAAAGGGACGTGTTAATTGTCCACCGAGTTTTGAACTATGCTAGCTCGTCCTCAGGATTTCTCGGTTACCAAATAAAGTAAACTTGCTGAAATACTCATAAAATGAGAAAACAAGATGTAGTGTAGTGCTCACCATGTCCAAACTTGATACAGATTAGGAGCTCAACAATGCAGATCGCCACTGAAAGCCAGCAAAATGCTCCTACCTTTTTCGCTGGTTTTCTGAATATGGCAATAGTAAACAGAAAAGTGAGAAATAAAGAAAAGAAACGAGAGCTTATGGGAGTAGTACACACTTCACTTCTTAATGCTAGTGGTTGGACATACCTGTCCTGTAGATACGAGTTATATTCGCGAATTGTTGGTAATGCAATTAACCACCAAAAAACCAATCTATACACTATCAAAGGATTTCTTGGAGGAATCCAAAGACAGAACTTCAAGAAGAATGTATTTAACTCCACAGTCAAGAATATGACACAGAGACTGAGGACTTGAATAAACCGCCATGGACCTAGAAGGGGACGCCATTCATCTTTATCCCAATGAGCTGGCGTAAATTGCCCAAGTGTTCGCTTGACCTATTAAAAAAAGAAGAAGCTGTTTGTTTAATAATAAAACCATCTGTCGCTGGGAAATCCCGTTCATAATACTTTAGTGCAGAATAAACGTCCTAATATTTCCATATAAACTGTATGGGACTTGTATAATGCAACCTAGTATATCTGATATTCCTCGAAACCATATACAACCGATGTAGCACTTAACGGGACATACCTTGCCCATGATATTTGGTTGCCTGCTTATACCAACCCACTCGTATGTTTTCCCATCAAAATACCGAACGGTGCGCATTCCAGCCCATATGCCTGCATAAGAAATCAAATAGGTAATTTTAGTGCAAAATAATCCAGGAGAACAAGACATATCTGTAAGACCATGAACAGACTTGAGCCACAGGTAAGTAAAATATGCAGAAAATATGGATTTAATGTTTTTTTACAATAACGACTATTCGTTGTATTCCTTACAAAAAATAAAAACAAAAACAATAATCACATTGCCAAATGTCAAGCCACAAAACTTCATCCATAAAGATTCATTATATCAAACAATCTCTCTACAAAGGCACAAATTCCACATCATCTGTTATAACAATATTTTTGGTGAAATGGAGCTCGATGATCGCCATAACCCATAGTCTAGTTATTCAAGTCGTTATCAAAATTTTCCTCTGAAAGATTCAGAGGAGATGGGGTGTCACAAACAGAAGGAAAAATCAAGTACTTTTTCAGTCTCGCCATTAACTTTCCCTTTCAGCAGTGGTCTTTATTTACCTGGACAACCACTTTTTACTGTAGGAAAGGCAATATTGTATCTCAATACAATGTAATTTCACAGCAAACTAAATCAAAAGAAGCAAATTCAACGATACATTTGATAAACTTCATCATCAATCTGGAAATGTTTTTCAGAACTCAAAAGAACAAGAACTTCAACAGGCAAAAGATAGAACATTAACCCCTTGATTAACTAGAAATGGATGCAAATTGTGAATATGATATCAATTTGTTGTAACCATGTCAAGAATGTAAAGTTCATTAGAGCACAAGGTAGTCGGCTTCAAGATGCTCACCGAACCAATTGCAGATCAATATGTCAAGAATAATGCTGTCCCACCAACACTCGTTGAAGTTTGGTAACATGTGGCGGAAGGTAAGCTGAAAACACAAGTTTAATGAGGACAGAAAATACTGAACAACTCTCAATTGGAAAATGAAAATATGCTGAACAAACATTCAAAAGAAGCCGAGAAAGGCTCTGACCTCCATAAACTCAAATCCAATGGATAAAACCCACAAAAGAGGCTGATTACGAATCATGATGGCCTTTCCCCACCACCCTATGATATGAGCCAAAACAAACTCATCAAACAGTGTGTCCTACAAAGCAAATACGCCATCAGAGAGGCTGCATTTTCCTGCAGCTTGTCCAAGAAAGCAATACAAGATTTTGAAAAAACAATTACAAAAGGTAAAAGGATTGTGAAAGAAGATATCATACATAAAGATTCTTAAACCTGTTTGTGGGATTTTCAGGTACGTAGATTCTGCAATCAGCTCCATAGGATCTTTCAGGTAGCTCTGCATAGTAAATTAAAATAGGTATAAGTTGTAACTCACATGGCAAAGCCGATAAACAGCATAGATTTTACAAAATAATTCACTCAAAACTGTTATGACGAACATGCCAAAATCCTTACCAATACCAAGATCAGGATGTAAGTATCTCATAAATTGCTGAGCATCATCCCGCTTCTAAGGAAAAGACGACAAAGTATTAATATCTCACAACAACAACTGAATGGCTGAATTATAACTTGATTAGATATCAGAAGGGAAACTGAAGTACAAAACATAACTACTGAATCATTTCATTCATTTATACAATTAGAAAACATGAATTCTGCTAACCAACTTACCTGAAAAAGCAAAAACGTCAAAGCAACAAGGTAAATGACGGCCATTCCATGAACTAGGCGCCAAATCGCAGGATGTGGCCTAATGAGCACCCTGTAATGAAGAACCTCACAGATTAATATGGTAAAAGACCATAGCCCAAAAATTGCAAATACATCTGCCTAAGCTAATTTCAAGTCAGGAGGAGAAAAGAAGGCGAACTCTAAAGCTCACATTTGAAGCCTAAAAGAAAAAAGACTTGAGCCGCGGGTCTACTAGAAATAACCTCTCTACCTTCACAAGATAAGGGTCAGGATGAATACACACCACCCTCCCCATACCCCACTTGTGGAATTTACACGGGATATGTTGTTGGAGTTGTAGTTGACTAACCAAAGAGGAGTTGAAAAGATACTCATTCTAGCACGTTCACAGCCAAAAAGTGAAAATAGATAACACTCAATAAATAATAAATAACCACCAACTCCTATTTTGAGCTATAATTTACTAAACAAACCAAAAATATGCAGAATACAACTCAATAAGACCTGAGAGAGAGAGAGAGAGGAGTATAGTAGCAACTTACGTCGAGGGGGCTTGCAGCAAAGAGTAAGCAAGATACACAGCAATCATAGCCCAAACACCCCTAACAGAGGAAAAAACAACTTTCACTGTCATGAACATTAAAAAGGAAAAGCTGTTTTTTATAAGGTAGGAATATAAGACAGAACCATGCTGTTTCATTTCAAGTGGTGGGGTTCAGAGAACAAGAGTCAACGGGTTAATTTCAGGGTAAAAAGGGACATTAAATTCAAGTTTTTTTTGTAAAATAAAATTTACATACTTAGAAGCTACACGACAGGTCTATAAGTCACAATAGTTAATCATTCAAAATATTTTAATATAATTAAGAAACTTGTGGTAGAAGAATAACCTATTTAGACTCCCAAATAGCAACAATACCACATAAAATGGGATAGAGAGAGAAATAAAAAGTGCACACCTTTTCACAGATGCCACAATATCACCGGAAGAAGTGTTTTGTGAGTCGAGAGCTCCACTAGCCCAACTGCAATCATAATAACATAAGCAAGTAAAAAAGAATGTATTATTGGCTTTAAAAAATACGAAAAACTACATATTAGCAAGCAAAACTAAAAGAAAGGAACCAATAATTTGCAAGCAATCAGTAAGGCAGCCTAATTGAAGTTTCCATGTGCTTTTGTATACCAAAACCAACTTTTGATAAATTTAAATTCAATTAAAACTGCAACGACTTGATGTGTCATACGTACAGCAAAAGGATTTCATTTCACAAAACAGCCAATTATAATAAAACAATTTTACATATCCTCAAAAAGAAGAGAACTTTTATATTATAATCACCAAAAGGAAAAATAGAAAGAAAAAAAAGGCTATAACAATCTAAGCATCTGACTGAAAATCTAATTCATTGATGACACAGAATATTGTATGGACATCCGAAAGAACAGAAGAAATGACACAAGAACTTAGATTTCTTCTACGAATTCCCTCATAGTCCAAGGCACTTGTCCAAAAATAAATAAAAAATTCCCCCATACTCCAAGAAGAGAACAACTATTCCTGTCCATAGCAATTATTTTACCTTTGAATATAGAGCATGTACATTAAAAAACTTACATGAGTAAACATGCACCGATAAGCAACAACGTAATAGTGTGAGGTTTGTTCGCCCAGGAAGTCCATGGATCCAACTCATCATCAATATTCAATGTGCTAAGATCACCATTTTGAAGGGAAACCGTATTTTTTTTGTTACCCTTTCTATGTCCATTAGGCTCCATAAGCCCTAGCCTGTAAGAATTCAACCTCTTCCGCCTTTTCGCTGCACAGACAAGATAAATGGAACTTCAATTACTAATACATAGTGATTCTAGGCGTGTAAACTAATGAAAACATTTCAAAGAAGCCATTAAAAAGTCATAGCAGGATGTTCCCTATTGGGCTCAAGCTACTATACGACATACAAATGACGATATATTTTATCAAAAGGTACCTTCAGAAATACAACAAACTTATAATAACTTAATCATTACTGCATATCCTACAAGAGTAAGTAGACTTCCTTTGGAAACAGGAGTGTAGGAAAAGCAAACACAATCCTTTTTTTGAGAATGGTAAACTAAAAGGAAACATAATTTAAAGGAAAATTCGAAGTAAAGATAGGAATCCAAGAAATAAGTTAAGGAAGGGATCCAAATAATCTCATGTCTGCACAACATTTTAATCTACAGACCCTCAGTAAAGAATATACTCGAACGTCTGTCACCTCCAAAAGGAAATTACCAACGGGTAGCTCTTATTGGTTCAAGATTTTAGCTCGCTATCCGTATTAAAACTGACCTTAAAAGATATAGAAGCATATGGGATTAAAGACTAACTTCAAATAAGCTAATGCAATACATCCTACACACCAAAATAGCCTCTTTAATTGGAGAATAATCATATCCGTGATGCCAATTAACAAAAATTAAGTCCGCGTAACCACACAAATACAATCGAAATTGATCATTTCCAATGCATGTGACTTACAAAAAACAAGGAGTTAACAGAAAGATGAACAAAAACAAAAACAAATCTTTTTTCCAATACCGGAAACAAAAATGAAACTAGACTGTAACTACCAACGCGAAATGAAACAAATTTGAACAATTTAGTGTTGGTTGTTAGCACAATAAGAACATCAACTACTATCATATAAGTGATGCCAATTAACCAAAAATCAGCCAATTCTTTACAACTAAAATCCACGTAATCACACAAATCCAATCAAAATTGATCATTTCCAATGCATGTGATTAACAAGAACATCAGCGGAGCCAAGAATTTTACTAAGAAAATTCAAAATTCGAAGAAGCCAACACACCAAAAAGCCACAAGGTGTTCAACATCAGCTATATATACATAAAAAAATATTTTTAAAACATAAAATTTTAACCATATATAAAAACAGTGTAGCTCCGCCCAGAAAGATAAAATATCCAAAACTTCTTCAATACCCCGAAACAAAAATGAACCTTGGAGTTTTAACTAGCAAAGCAAAAATCAAACAAATTTGAAGAAAACAAGAACAACCCAAAATTCAAAAATATCCCAAATGTAACATACATAGTGCATGCCAATCAATGATTCGCAAAGCCAAGATTTTCACTAAGAGATTCAAAATACGAAGAACTAAACCCAACAAGAAGCCAAATGAGATTCAATATCTACTGGTAGTACATATACATTTTAAAAATAAAAACAATTTTAACCATATATAAACAATGTACAAACATCTCGGCCCTACCAGACTTCGCCCCTACCACTCCATTAAGTAAACGCTACAGGAAAAAAAATCCCAGTTTTGAAGTTAACAGTAATATACTCTATTACCTAAATATATATACATAAATGCATACACAAAATCTATTTATAGAAAGAAGAACTGAAAAAAGTAAAGTCAGAGAGGGGAAAAAAACTTACGTAGAGAAGACAAAAGAACTAAAAATAAAAAGCTGACAATCACAGAGAGAGAGCCCTAGTAGTAACAGAGAACAATGAATCCTGGCCGTTGGATAAAAAAATGAACAAATTTTCGAAAATGGAGAAATGGGTACTGTAGATAATTAACTATTTAGCAAAAACAGAGCAAATTTATGGAGATTTCAATGAACACAGAAGCAAAAAAAGATCGAATTTTCAAAAATGGAGAAATGGGTATTGTAGCTGTTTACTAAAACAGAGCAAATTTATGGACATTTGAATTAACATAAAAGCATAAAAAGATCGAATTTCCGAAAATGGAGAAATGGGTATTGTAGATAATTAACTGTATAACTAAAACAGAGCAAATTTATGGAGATTCGAATGAACACAAAATAATTAACTGTATAACTAAAACAGAGCAAATTTATGGAGATTCGAATGAACGCAAAAGCAAAAAAAGATCGAATTTTTGGAGGAAAAAGATGAATTTTCGAAAATGGAGAAATGGGTATTATAGATAATCATCTGTTTAACTAAAACAAAGCAAATTTATGGAGATTTCAATGAACAAAAGCAAAAAAAAAAGTTAACAAAAAAGACAGATTTTTTTAGGAGGAAAAAAAAAAGTTCAAAAAAATTTAAACTTTTCTTTTGCCTCTTTCGAGAGAAGAAAACAGTGGTGACTGAAAGTTCACACGGCGGCGAAAAGGCGGTGATTTTTAGAGAGAGAAAGAGGAAGAAGAAGAGGAGAAAGTAGAGAGAGAAAGTTCGGTTTCTCTTTTTCTTTTTTTTTTGGTCAAAGAGAGATTTGGTTTGAAGAGATTTATAAAGATGAGTATTTATTACTTATTCTTATCATTAAATTAAGGTACGGTTTTTTTGTTTTGGAAAATTACAGGTCGGAAGAATATTTTTTGATTTTTCATTATTTTTTTTATATTTATATTGAATTTAGACTAATTTAAATTTACACATGATAGACCTTATATGGAGGCATATTTATGTATAAATGTTAATGGAATAGTTTTTTGATATCTATATTTGGGTAGTTTTATATTAGAGATAAAGTACTTATTATTTCATCACAATTCTAATTGATAGATCATGGTATAGTCTTTTTGGGTGTCTCGGTTATCAATAAATTTAAATTTTTATATTTCTAATATGTGTTGAAATATATTTTATAACCTTAAATATATGGTTTTAGTAGGAAAAATATGATATTTGAAAGAAAAAAGAAACTAAGTTGAAAATTTTCGAATATGCATTTAATTTGAAGAAAAAAAAACAAGTTAAGAATTGATCAAAATCACTTTTTCAAACTAAAAATTCATTTTCTACTTGTTTTGAAAAAAATATATCATGGAAAACAATTGATATCTTTTTTAAGTGAAAATTATATTGTATTTGAACTACTTTAAAAACTCCATCATAGTTAAATTAAGAGAGAAATATGAAAAACACCCCTAAATTAGACATGAATTATTAGTTTCATTCTCAAACTATCGACAGTCTTAAAAAAACTCTTAACTTGACTAATTAAAATTAAATATAGACCTGATCTTACAACATGAGTGAAATACACCCCAAAATAATTACCAAGTTAAGAGTGTTTTCAATATTTCTCGTGTTCTATTAAGAGCTCTACTAAAAGAGTTTAAGACTACATGCTATGTTATGTAACAAATCTGGATGTATCTAAGTTTAGCTAGTCAAGTACAGAGGTGGTTTTAGTAATCAATAGTTCAAAAACAAATTTAATAATTTGTATCAAATTTAGAAATGTTTTCAAAACTCTTAAATATCCGGTAATAGTATAAACTTAATAGATAAATACATAGATTATTATAGATTATTATTTGGCTGAATGAATAATAATTATGATAAATTTATGAATATTCTCAACAAAAAGATCAAATATGCATATTTCAATTAATTAAATTAAGTATCTTTTATTAGATATTACTCCCTCCGTCCCATTTTATATGTCACATTTTTACTTTGCACTTGCATTAAGAAATGATGTAACTTTACCCTTCTATCCTTATTTAATGTTTTTTTAAGTCAACTTTATTAATAAATGACAAGATTAATTAACTATTCTATCAAGGGCATAATAGGCAAAATATGATAATTTATGCATAAATTTTATAAAGTGACAAGTATTGTGGTTCAACTATTTATAGAAATGAATGACATATAAAATGAGACGGAGGGAGTATATACTCAAACGTGTAATTGAACACTTTATTTTAATAAATATTTTATAAAGTACATTTTTTTTAGATACTATACATTGTACTTCAGGTATATGCTTCACAGTTTGGTACTTGTACTATGCTTTGGAAATGACAAAAATACCCTTTACATTGGGAAAATAAGTTTTGGTAACGTTTGTCTTCTGCTTTCTTATATTAAAAATTAAGTAATAAAATATATTTGAATAGTTTTTTTTAATCAAATAAATGTTTTCTTAAGCATTTATAGTACTATCATCTAAAAGAATTAATTAGTAAATGTTTTAGGTTTTATCACCATTTCAATAATTGATGATTTTTTTTTAGTAAAACTAGTGAGTTGTTTAGATGGGTCGAACAAATGAGTCGTTATATATAGTTATAATTATGCAACGAAAGATATCGAGATACTTTTAATTATAGTTTAACTTATGTTAAAATGGTAAAATATTTTTGAAATTTGAAATATTTATTAAATCTAAAAATACATAATTTGCATATATGAATTACGTGAATGATTTTGAAGAATTTAAGAATGATTTATATTAAATTAAATGTTATTTGAGTTTCTCTAATAGAAATGTAGCTAATTAAGCTTTCTTCCTAATTATTTTGAAAAGTTCAAATAGGAGAAATTAAGGAGAGAGAAAAAGGAAAATGAATTTGTGTTGATTTTATATTAGTGATCTCTATCATTTTGGAATATTCTTCTTTAATAAAATATTATACTTTTTTTCATCACCATGATATTATCACAATTTGATTTTGGTTGAGATGGAAGGATATATGATTATGATAAAATGTTAATAAATACTTTCTCTATTTTTATTTACTTGTTAAATATTTACTAATTTGATATTCTACTTGTCCATTTTAACAAAAAAAAAATCTTATTAAACGCTCAATTTATTAATATTGAATTAATGTCTTTGAAAAATATAGTGAGTAAATATATGGGACCTTATAAATTAATATGGTAAAATGATAAATTTACTATACCAAATATTATTTCATTAATATGTGTGTCAATGCGGAATTGACAAGTAAAAAGGAACGGAGAGAGTAGTTATGTATTGTCTATTTTTTTTTATCAATAGTGAGTATTAAATATTATTCTCCTATTTCTTATTCTTGAATTTTATTTATCATATTTTTTCCCGTTGATTATTATTTATTTGTTATTTTCTCATTTATTTGTTTGCTGTATTTTATTTTCATATATGTATGATATGCTTTATTTGAGCTATGAATCTATTGAAAATGATATTTCTACATTTACAAGATAAGTAAGGTATAAGGTTTCATATACATCACCCTTTCCATATTTGTGGAATTTCGCTGAATATGTTAATTATTATGGTTATTTTGATTGAGATCAAAAGAGGAAACCAAAAAAGAAAGTCACCTCTTTTGCAAAAGGAAAATAATACATGGATATATAGAAAATGGAAGTTCGTGTATATTTACATAACTTCCATTTCTTTATTAAAAATAAATTACATAGGTTTTTAAATTTATATAAAAGACAAGCAACATGAAATAGTGAAGTCTCTCAAACCATAAGCAAGTTATTCTTGCATCCTTTTCATGAAAATGCAATTTTACCATAAAGTTGTTTTTGATGTCCTATATATATATTTCAAATATATCCCTTTAAATTGTAAAAAAAAAAAAACATATCATTTAAACAACTATCTACCCTCAATTATTTCTAAAATATGTATTAGACCTACTTTTCATATGTTTTCTCCATTCACAACAATACAACCCAATATAGTTTCACAAGTGGAGTCAGGGGTGGTGGTGATAGTGTGTAAGCAGTCTTACCCCTACTTTAACAAGGTATAGAGATTGTTTCGAATAGGTCCTTAACTGTGATCTCACAAGTGGATCGAGGAAGAGTGGTGTGTAAACAGTCTTTACCCCTACTCTGAGAAGGCTGGAAAGACTGTTTCAGATAGATCCTTGATTGTAATCTCACAAGTGAGGTCAGAGAAGGATGATGTATAAACAATCATATCCCTATTTTGCAAAGGTAAGAAAACTGTTTCTATCACACCCTCGTCTCAATAAAATGTACTCTCCATTTGAATCTAATTTTTGCTATTACTTCCATATTTCATTTTATAGTATAAAAATTATTTCTCTTTTCTTCTTTTTTTTTATTATTGGGGAAGAAAAGATATTTTCTTTAAAAAGTGAGTCCTAAAATGGGGGAATTGGACCAATTAGTTGATTTATGAATAGGGGAAATTTGGTAATTGTGGCTTAAAATAGGGGGGACAAAAACAAATATAGGGGAATAGTTATAGTGTTACTAGGCTTGTAACCTTTTAATTGCAATGGGGCCCAAAACTTCATTTATTGAAGTATTAAAGCCCTTTAACATCTGTAAAAGTACAGAACAACCCAAATAGAAAGAGACAATTTATTATTCGTCAACTCTTTGCACAAGTCCTTATCATCTTTATTTATCTTTTCATGCATCACCGTTAACATTTAAAGAGCACTGAATTCTCAAATATGAAATATTTAGGCGTGAATCTAAATTTAATTGAGCTTTAATGTGGTTATCAAATACCGAATGAAAAATCAAAAAAAGAAAAGAAAATCTCTTTATCATTAATTAGAGATTTTAATTTGAGCTCTTAGAATGATAAAATTACTCTTTAAAGTGCTTTCTTTTTTATTGACCTTACACGACACGAATTCGTATTAAACAAGGCGTAATCCGAGCATAGGACGTTGAATGAAAAATCAACTAACTTTAAATTGTACGGATAAATCGAGGTTCATGTGAGTATCAAATGTCAAATGAAAAACTCAAAAATAAAAATAATAGATTAGGTTTAAAACATTAATCAAGGTGTTACTATTTTTGTTTTAAATAACATATATACAAATTATTAAAACTAATAAAAACAAGTATATATTACATTTTTTAAAATTATATTATTTATTGATGA